GTTGATAAAACAGAGAAAATACAAACATTTCAATTAAATCTTATAAATACTAATTAAAATCTACTTTCTTGTTTTTTTTTTGAAGTGTAAACTTCATTAAAATATTCTTGTGATTTGAAACTCGATGAAACGGAAATGAGGAAAGGACATTAAAAAAAAAGACAAACATATACACCTATAGGATTTAACCTGCGAGAGAATGAGATAGAATATGGTATAGTGTTTCCTGTTATCTCGGTCTCCTTTTTGTACGGTGCTTCGTAGTCTCCCAACTCTTGTCTACTAAGCGTTGTACATAATATGTATGCTTGTGTGAGCTTGCATATTGCCGTGCCAAGCTGAGAAAAAGGCGTCGTATTAGTGAGTATAGTAGTATCTATATTGCATAGCCTAATACTTGCTCTACTAGTCCAAACTAGTCAAATCTGGCCGACTAGCTGAAGATAGCTGAAACTTCGTTGAAATTAAAAATTTGCTTGAGCCTATATAATATGTAATGTAGTATATGTTGTATAAAATGTAAACATTCGTCTCATTCTCTCGAAGTTTAGTTTTCTAAAGATTTCACTTCTACCACGTGTGAACTGCACGCATGTAATTTTTGTATTTTCTACATATGTTTCAAGCAACACTCAATGATTAGATTAAATAAAGTATATTAAAATATTTTCTTCTCCCTCTTCCTCATTTTATTAAGATTTTATCTTATTATAATAGCTTTTTTTTATTGCTATTTCTAAAAGCGATTATATTAAAATATAATACGAGTTATAAAACTTAATCAAGTTTTTGAGGTTAGAAAACAATATGGCGGTACATACGACATATACATATATGAGATATTATAAAAAAAACGATTAGAATAAAATATTAAATGAATAAGAGAATAATTATAATACAATACATAACGAAGTAGTTAATATTGATGGAGTAAAGTTTTCAGCAAGTATTATAGGAAGTAATTCGTTTGTGAAATGCATCTGCATTCTGTCACATAGCACGCAGCCTATCAGAAGTGTGAGATGGTTCTCTTCGTATGTTGGCGTACCAACTCCCCGTTGGTTCTATTGTGGCTCTATTAATTACCACGATCTACCATAAATTCAGAATAATAGTCGTGGCATATATAGTCGTTAGCGAGAGTATATATGTGTATATTATATATGTATATGTATATATATATATATAGTATGAGTATGGGAGTGGAAGAGAGAGAGAAATAGAGATAGAAGGAAGGAAGGAAGGAGTATGGTCGAAGGACTACGAAGGTGGTTCCCCAATGTCGTCGAATACAGGGCTGCCAACCGTTGGTGGCATCGTTGGAAGGAGCTATCGCAGATAATTATGAGACAGAGATGGAGAGAATATGTTACCTTATATGATACCTAAACGTATCAGTACATTACATATATAACCCGTATACTGTTTTATATAATATATGTGACTTATGTATACTTGGTATGAGTTAGTATACGAGTCCGAGTATACTGGGTATTGTGTGTGATGCTAATTTTTTAATTATTTTTAGTGTCTGTTAATTTTTATTTAGTTTTATTTAATTAATTATAAAAGAAAAAAGGTGGGGGAAAATTGAAAAAGATCAGGGTTTCGATATACTCTTTGATTTATGTCGTCGACACATTTATAAATTAACTTCTTCACATCTCACTCTTGTTTCTTGATGATCTTTACGGATAATACTGAGAGCCGAGGGGATTTCTAGTGTGCAGTTAGTGGCTTAGAAACCCTTCCAAGGTCGTTTACGATCGTATCGTCTTACGTGCTGGTGGTACTCCTCCTAAGGCACCACCTGCCACAAGATCTACGTGGGATTATTCCTTACACGTTGACACTAATGAAGAAACCTAATCAAGAAAGTTAATGCAAAAGGGAGACTACGGAAAATTATGGTATTCCTTTTAATATCTTCTCATTTTACTTTTTGTTCTCAACTTATTATTAATTTTAAATAAATTAAACGGACGTCTCATATTTGTTTTGTAAAAATCTATTATAAGTCAAAAACGAAAATCAATATATTGCAACAAATTATTGCTGATTAAATTTTAATTTAATTTTCTTGTTTTCTTTTACATATTTTTTTTTATATTATTCGAGATAGATTTGTTTAATCGATTAGAAATTAAAATCTCTCTTACACACGAAATTAAATGAATTGAGATATATATTATTTAATTAATGTAACATAAAAATATATATTTGTTGATTTGATTGTGTGATAACTTATTAACTGATTATATATGATATATTATTGTATTTAATATATAATATTATTGTTAGGGTATTGTTTTTTAATAGGATAAATAGGGATTACAAAAATGACGTATGTAAGTAGCAAACCCTTTAGTAATATACGAATGGTTGTTTTCCTACTTTTGTGGAATACTCAACCCTAGTTAAAGTTTTCGACGTGAAACCTCGTTGGCCAGCATCCCTTTTTACCTTACCCTTAATTCCTACTCTTCGTTCAACCTTCAGCTCCCCCCTCCCTCTAAAACCCTTCTTCCCTCTTTACTCTTTCTTTACGAGTACGTAGTACTACTACTCGCGAGTCAAGTTAATTAAGTACTTCATTTGGATGGAGCCACTTGGGCGTTATGGTCGCTAAAAAAAAGCACCTACCATTTTGATGTCAAGTATGTAGATATATATTTGTATGTACGTATGTATGAATGCATATGTGTATGTAAATGTATTTGTGTGTTTGGAACTCAGATAGGGTATGTACATATGTATATGTAAGTACGTTTCACTTGCATACGTGCATATGCTTTGAATATGACTTTATGTTGGAAGAAAGGTCAAAGGGTTTTTCATTGAAACCAAGTAGGGCGGTTGTTTGTTTGTTTAGTTGGTTATAATGATTACATTATTTTCTACATTGACACGTTATTTTATTAGTATAATAAGAATATGTTTAGTTAAGAATGTGTGTGTGTGTGGAAAACGTAATTGAAATTAATTTGTTGGATGTAACAATTATGGTAAAATTGTTTCATTAATTAATATATTTTTACTCTTTTTTTATGTGTTTTTATGTTGATTCTAATAGGTGTGTGCGTGTGTGTTTGTTTGTTGAGGATGTAAAATGATTCTTTTAATGATTTTTTTATTTCTTATGATTCTTATGTGGATAAGTATATGAAAATGATTGGAACTGTCTTTTTTATGGGATAATTTTGTTTTCCTTAATATATGATAAGTTTTACTTATTAAAGTAATAATTTCAAAAAAATGATTAATATATATTTTTTACCAAGTCAGATACTAAAATAATTGAGAGAAAAAGCAGGTAAGATGGAAAATAAGACAGAAAATGTAAAACGTTAGACGATTTTTCCTTTACTGCAGAACATTCAAATTTTATATTACGACTTAAAAACGTTTCGTCAAAAAGAAATAGTAGCAACGTTTTCTACGAGAAATAAAAGAAAAAATACAATAAAATAAGAAGAAACAAATAATATTTAAAAAGGAAAAGGAAAAAGATAAATAAATAAAATACGATTTGTTCTCTTTAAATTGTTCTCATGGGATATAACCTCAAAACATTTCACCGTATTTTTCATTTTCTTTTCCTTCTTACTTACACATATTCAGTATATACACATTCATATACACTTATATTTATAATATAACTTTTTAATTAATCATTTAAGTGTGTACAATATTATCTAATTAATTTATTATTATTTTTATTTATAGAATGTTCAAGTAAAATTTTGCGATAAAATATTGTGACACCTTGTATATGTGATAAGGTGATTGAAAAGTTTATATATTCGTGGATGAATTTAAAAATGAATTAAACATCTTTTGTTTAAATATATATATAGGTTAGGTTGAACATATATAGGTTAGGTTGAACATATATAGGTTAGGTTGAACATATTTAGGTTAGGTTAAATATTACATTGATTTTTATATTTCGTTTATCAAATAAATAATATTCTCAATTGATTATCATAAAATATTATTTCTGATAGAGATTTAAAATATTTAATTGTATTAAATTTATAATAACTCATATATTTCTTTTATTATATTCATGACACACACACACACACAAAATTTAAGTAATATTATAAGAATATAATTAAAACATGGATGTTCTTCATTCGAATAACGTCAAAATAAATCAAATAGACATCAAAGGAAGCTTATTATGAAAATTTAGAAAGTAATGAGAATAGCTGTGTATATTATAACAGACGAATATCTTCATTTTATATTTTATTGTAATAAAATGAAAGATAAGGAAGAAGAAGAAGAAGAAGAAGAAGAATAACAGCAACAGGGGGAAGTGGGTGGGTGGGAAGTTTAGTTGTGGATGGTTTCTTTACGTTTGAATACATATACATATAAATATAGTAAGAATATCTTTTAAAAGAAATAAAGGAAAGGGAAGAATATAAAAAAGAAAGAAGAAGAAGAAGAAGAAGTAGAAAAAAATGCAAACGTTTATTCGCGAAATATTTTGCAACGTTAGAAAAGAATGGGGAAAAAAAAATCTAAACGATTGTCATGTAATATGAAAATAAGCTTTTATTGTTACAGTTCATTTTTATTTTTACTTTTTGTTTATATTTTTTTTTTACTCTTACGGCGTATGTCTTTATGGGAAATATCTTTCTTCATATCTTCGTTGTTGAAAGCTACGACTTAAAACACAAAGTTAGAAAAATCTTTAGGGAAACGATGCAAAAATGTAGGATTACTTTCTTTTTATTATTTTATTCTTTTCTTTCCCTTTCCACCCGAAGATTCCTTTATTTCTTTCTACATTACTCTTTCTTTTTTTTTTTCATTTTTAGTTTTATTTTAAGTCTATACATATAATATTTAAGTTATTTAAGTTATTTAAGTCTATACATATATAATATTTCGGTGCTTCATTATTATTTCAAATGTTTTTCTATTGTACGTTGTTCTTATTACTTTTTTTTTTAGTTTGTGTTTCATTTTGGTAATTTTTGCAGATGTCACCGACCAAGAGACAGTCTCTTTTCATGGAGCTCGGGTTTCGACAACTTTACAGGATTCGTCAACTGGGGCTTCCTCTTGCTTGGAATTGGTGGAATGCGTTTGCTTCTTGAAAATTTTATCAAGTATGTGTCTACCTTATGTATATATAACTTATTTTAAGATTTAACATTTTTTCGATTAGATTATGCATCATTTTTATTTGAATTGTCATGTTGTTCTTATAACAAAACCAAAAATTACACACACATATATACACGTACACACAAATATTTATTTCTGATTTTAATCATTTTTTGTAGTATAGAATATTGAATACTTTAAATTTAACAAAATATTGAAAAGAATCTTAACAAAATCTTCAAACAAATTCTGATGCAACTCTGACAAAACCTAAAGTTAGGATTGTGATCCTGTAAAGGGTTACGTAAAGGGTTATATAAAGGGACAAATATCGACGAGGTTAAAATTAGTATGAGATTTTCGTATTCATAGTTCACAAATATATGATGATGATGATGATGATGATTATATAGTCACATCAAAAGGGATTACCTATATAAAAGGGATATAATTTTTTATCCGTCATTTTTTAAAAAGGGGGAGGAAAAAGAAAAAGAGAGAATAGGTGGAGAAAAAAATTGTCTGATCGTAAAGCTTTTCTCAAATTCTCGTTCAATCACTATGGTGACCGTAGGGATCAGAATAAAGAAAAGAAAAACATATGTATATATATATATATATATATGTATAGAATAGAATAGGAAAGTAGGGTCGAAAAGGGAAGTCTGACTAAAACAAGATCTTCTTTTGAGATTTGAGATAAAACGTCAACGAATTGCAGAACGATTTGTTATTTAACAGTCGATAAGAATATATACAGGGTGTCTGATTTAAATCTATCCACTGATGTTAGACAAAAGTTGAATTGGTTAATACTTTTGTGTAGGATATAAAAACTTGGATTAATTGGGTGCATTAAAAAAATATATAATTTTATTTAAAAAATTAAAATTTTGATTTTAGTGTAATCTTTACGCGCGTGTCCACTTACGAATAATAATTATTTAATAATAATTTAATATATTTTTGTCTATCATCGACAGTTTCGAATTGGATTCATTTAAATGGGACACCCTGTATATATATATATATAAAAAAAGGGAATCTTTGACAGGTTGGATTTGTCTAAGAACGATTATGTTAGACCTTTTTCTTACGTCTGGTTATTTGATTGATGTGATTTCGATTAGATCAGCTGTGTCATTTCTAATAGTCCGATAATGAGGGTCTGCAATTTTTCTAGTCAACGATCACGGTCGTTAAAATTATCTTTTATATTCTTTTTATAGAAAAGAACTATGATCTTCGCGATGGGAATTTGTTTGCGAAATATTAGCAAAACAATTAATTTGTCTTTTAATTATAAATTCATGATTAACGAACTTATGACTCACGCGTTCTCGTTGCTTTTATAATAAAATTAAGAAAAATATATTTGCGATTGTTTATTAATATAAAGAGAAAATAAAAAATAAATAAATAGTTAAGTATAGTAAGGTTTAATCGTACGTGCGAATATTTTTAAATATTTATTTTGTATAATTCGAAGACGGGGACATTTTTAGGTTAACTAATTTTAGGTTATGTTTTGTTTTATACAAAACAATGAATTTTCAGATAAACCTATACATTATATTATCTTGTATAATATAAAAGATGCGAACACAAGTGTCCTAATAAATGAATTTATGATTATAAAAGTTATATATAAAACTTTATGTATATATTATAGATACAGAAAAAAAAAATGCAACATAATAATCGTTAGCCCTATTAATCAAGGTTATAATTTGTTCGTATACTTTCTCAAGTAGTCAAGGACGCGAATCGTTAATTTATTTTTCCACTTTTTCCTTGTTTTTTTTTTTTTTTTAAATCCCGTTAACCATGAACTTTAAGAAAACTTGTTTTCCTCAAAATTACTCGTGGACGAGGGACCAAAAAAAAGGGTCTTGTTAGAAATTAATTTATGACTAACAGTAAGACGTAAAGTGTAAGAAAGAAAGAAAGAAAGAAAGAAAGAGAGAGATGGAGTATTATAATGAACGTTCGTTGTCCTTGAAGTAAAAATTAAGAGAATATCTTTTGCGATGCTTCTTATACCAAAAAAAAAAAAAAATACAAAAGGAAAAAAAATGAGATGAGAAAAGTAGAAAAAAAGTTAAGAAGAAAAAGATTTTTACAAGGCGTCAAGGTGAAATGGTGATTCCCCTAACCATATCCTCCCCCAAACACCACCACCACCCCACCCTTACTACACCCCACCCCCCTCTTCTTTTCTTTTCCCTATCTTTCTTTCTCTCGTTTTTACTTTCTGTCGTTTTATTCCACTTCGCGTTCTTCTTCTCAAGGTTGAAAGGAAGGTAAGGGTTAGGGTCTTAGGTGTTAGCCTCGACCCATGAATAATTTCAACGAGATTTTTATCGTCGTTGTAAACTCTCCGAAGCCTTAGCGTTCACTGGCCACCACCATCACCACCACAACCACCACCACCACCACCACCACCAACACAATCACCACCCCACCATCACCGGGAAAACGCTAGGGTCTTGTAACAGAAATTTATCACGCTCGTTAAGCGTGGAAAAACTTTGGAAGGGAAGTTTTGCGACGTAATTGCTTGGTCGGCAAACGTTTTCTTGAGCTACTTTCTACCCCCCCCCCTCCCCCTCCCCTCCTCCCATTCGCCCCCCTGTCTGTCTATCTGTCTTTTTTTTTCTGTTGCTTCTGGTAGATTTTTTTGTTTTTTGTTTCCAGTTAAGCAAATAATATCTTTCTAACATTCGTGTATAAATTTTATATATAGGAAAAAGATTTTATCAAATAATTAATATAATAATAATAATAATAATGAAATTAAATAAGAAATTATATTTGATCATACGCGTATATATTTGTATCTTTAACTATCTGTCGGTAAGATGAATTTAATTTCAAATCAATACAAATGTTTGAATAATAATTATTATTATTTTTTAAATCGAAATTGTGTGTTTGTAAATAATAATATAAATTATTGGCCAATATTTTTGTGTAACACCATAGAGTATAGATAAATTTGGTTTTTTAGATAATAATAATAATTATAATATTGTAATGAAGTTTTCGGTAATTTTATTAAAATTTACTTGATCGACCCTAACGGTTGTTGATTATTAAATATATTGTTTCACGTGATTGTTTTCACTTTTGGATCTAAATAAAAAGTCTAGTTCGATATTAAAATTGGTAGAAGAAATTTGATATAATCTTATTAATATTATAAAAAGTATTTAAGATAGAAAGAGATAAAGATAGTGTCAGAAAACAAAAGATATTGTTCAATTTATAGACTGTAATATACTTTTTCTTAAAAATAGATTTCAACAATGTATATAAATAATCGTATATATAAAAAGAAATCGTATTAATTAATGATTTAATAATTTATGTTTTATAAAACATTTGATTCTTATTTTGGTGACTTGTAACAATATAATATATTGGAAATATTTTTCGTAAAATAACTTGGACACCGTTTATATGCCTGGTATAGATATTCGTATGCCATTTTTTTGTTCGTTAATACCTATGAGCTATGGGAAAATTCCGTAGAATACACAGAGCCATGTTTAATCTGTATGAACGAGTTTTATTTTTCAAAATGTCGTCGAATTCTTTTCGAAGGAGGGTTCGGGACAGAGGGGGAGGGGTGGAACGGGGGTCGGGTTAGGAAAAAATTGTAGTTTGCAAATAAAATGACATGAAATATTCGATGTTACAATTTTACCCATATGACGTTTCGGTGTTCATGGTGTTATCTCAATTTTAATTGTAATCTATATCAGAGAATCTTGTTAAATTGATTTATAGATATATGGATAAATATGTAAATAAACAAAATAAAATCATATA